TATAAATTTTAAATAAATAAATTATTTAAATAATTTTATAAAAAAATTTTAACATTTTAAATATTAAGATATCTTAATTTTTTTTTCTCATTAACAAAAAAGCAAAATAATCGATCATGTCGATTTCTATTTATATGTGTGGATAGAAAGAAAGATGGAGAGCCATCAAAACCCCAAATTCTTCCTTAAATAAGTAGTGTATAAAAAAAGAGAAATTGGTATGGTTCAATCTAGGTTTGATATACAAAATGGTCCCTTACCTTTTGGGTTTAGTCCAATTTTAGTCCTTGAAATTTTTTTGTTCCAAAATCATCTATCAACTTATTTTTTTCAACACCATTTTAGTCCCTATTAAGTATTAACAGAAAATTGACAAGGCTAGTTAAGTAGCAATATATATATATATATATATAGAAATGGCTCACTTATGCTTATTTAGACATTTGGGTTTTGCTAAAACTAAAAGAAATTAAATTTTTGTGGATTAAAAGGAGACATATAGACATTATTTAAATCTAATTACATAATTACCACAATAATTATCTCAACTCCATTTAATAATTAAATTAGTTTAAAATTACAAAGTAACCTTTTATCCTCTTCTTCTTTTTGTGTCTTCTTCTCTCTCTCTTTCTTTTTCTCCTTGATTGTTGGTGCTTGTGTGCTCCTCAAACTTTCATATTGTGATCAATGCTAAATCATCGCATTAACATTGTGAGAAGAACCCAAATAAAGATCCCGCACTTTTGCACAAGGAGGAACCTAGATTTCGGTTTCCTCACCTTTTTTCATTAATTTGCTTTTTATTCATCATTTTAATTTATATTGGATTTTGTGGATTTGAATATGAATATATGCTAGTGGTGATGTGGGGGGGGGGGGCATTTTGAACAGTAAATAATGGTAGATTTCTGTTAATGGAGGGATGCAATTGTAGTTGGAAAAATAAGTCTAAATACCATTTCATATTAAAAAAGTCTAAAGACCAAAATGAAACCAAATCAAAAGCTAAAGGACCATTCCACACATTAAACATTTCATTTAAGAGTTTAGAGATAGAGAGAGAAAGCAATGGCAAAGTGGGAAAAGCACTAAAGCCCGTCCTGTAAAGGGAAACCAAAAGAATTACTTGTCCTAGTAAATGATGAAAGCTATATCTAACGGCACCGGAACAAATTCATAAAACTCTTTTTTTTTTTTTTTGAACGGGCAAAACACAACAATGAAACAAATTCATAAAACTATAAAAGTATGTATAAATTTTCATTGGAATGAAATTAATATTAGACAAATATATACATATAATTTCATAAATTCTACAAATAATTAAAAAAAGGTTTATTAAAATTATTGGTACATGGTGTATAATATGTTTTACTATCTAAATTAAACTAAATAACAAAATATTAATCATTAAAATAGTATAAAACCATTTAATTATATTAATTATTATTTAATAATTAATTTTTTATATTATTTAAAGTATGATAATATTGTTTATCTCTCTTACCTCTTAAAGATTAAAAAAAATTATCCTAAAACTACTTGTTTCAATAAATTTCATTGAAAAAAAATTAAAATATCATGTTTTTAAAACATGAATGGGAGTATTTTTTTGTTTTTTTATATAATATTTTATTAAAATTATATTGTTTTAAAATAATTTTTTCTTTAATTTTTAAGAGGTATGACACACTGATCTCTTAAATTATTTTAAAAACTTTATTTATTATTTAGACCAAGCAAGTCGCGGTCGCAGTTAAGGTCACATCCAATTCACTCACTCGAACCTGAAAATGGCCTGCATTTATTTGATTCAAGAAAGACACACAAATGATTTCAAGGCGTTGAAGAAATCCCCAAAATGGAAACCCACATCTTAAAAGGCAAAATAAAGTAACAGCTCCTCATACCCAACCCTTCTCTTTTCTCTACTTTCCTTCTTTTGATTCCCATATTTTGTCCCCACTTCTCTCTTTTAGCTTCACATGGCTTGCTTTCCACTTTCCTTCCTTCTCTTTAATAAAAAGGAAATATTATGTTGTTCAAGATAAACAAAATTTACTTTGAGAGCTATTTTTTTAATTTAATGTATAATTTATTTTATAATTTTATATTATTGAAACTATAAAATAAAATAAAAAATTCTTTAAACTCCATAATTAGTAATCTGTAATGAAAAAAAAAAAAAAAAAAGGGAAAAGAAAGAAAGATCGTACTCAGAGAAAGACGAATCTCTGTCTGGCTGAGGATTGGGCAGTGTTTCGTAGATCCGATGCAAAGGAGAGGATCTAAGGGAGATTGTACCTTTTTGCATATCTGTAAACTAGCATTTTCACGCACGGGGGAGGGGCGCGTCAGGATAGTGTTTCCTTACATTTTTTATTTCTTGCAATTACAAGATGGAAAAAAATATATATTACTCCTACAACGTTAACAATAACAAACACTTTGTTTCAGTTTCATTGTCGCTGGATGTCTGCATCTATCTTTTGTTACGATGGTCAAAAAAGAGTGTGAGAAAAAGGGGAATAAAAAATAAAGTAAATGGTAGGTTGGTAGGTTGATTCTGGCTTGATGGCTTTATTTTTTTAAAAAAAAACTTTTATTAAAAGTTGAAAATTTTATAGACAAACTTTTAAATTTTGATAATGTTAGTCAATTTAATTTTTTAAAATTTATTTTTTAAAATTTATTTTTATTAAAAAAATAATATTTATCTGTCTTAAAAATTAAGAGAAATATTTTTTTAAAACTACGGTATTTTAATAAATATTTATTAAAAAAAATTAAAATATACTATTTATAAAACATGAATTAAGATTTTTTTAATATTTTTTTATAATATTTTATTAAAACGATATAATTTTAAAATAAATTTTTTTAATTTTTTAAAAATAAAACAAATAAGCACTAACCCCTTCATTAAATTAATAACTTCATAATTTGATAGGAAAATTTCAACCAGAACAACATTTCTACAAAAACTATAAATAAGTCATATAGACCTGACGATATAAAAAATATGTATACGCTAATAATTGTTTTTACCTAAGGGGATTGTGATGCCCGGTATGAATCCAAGACTTGCATGCCCTAACACTTTCCCTTAAGGGAAGTACCTAGTGGGCCATTACGTATTGGACTCGTAATTTTTATTTTATATCTTTAGAAAGAAAAGATAAATAAATTAATGAAATGAAAGTTCTACGTTTGACCAAGAAGAATAATGAATTCAGATGCAAACGTTGTTCTCCAATGTAAGTCATCGTTTGAATGAAATTGTACATGAATCTCCACATGTTGATTGGGCATGAATCTTAGAAGTAAGAGACACATATCTTCCCAATTCTGCAACTGCTGCACTATAACAGAGGAAGATGTCCTAAATCTTTCTCCTTATAGACTACTTCTCTTTAATTAATTCATCTCAGTGACGCCCCTGCTTACGATTGTGGTCTTGTATTATATACATTTAGTACTTGTAAAACGACATTAGACCATATATTAATGTGCAATTAGACTGACCTGATAACGTATTTTATAACCAATGTACACTTTTTTTTTTTGGGTGAATAATCAATGTTTAATTGATAAAGAAAGGTATATTTCCTTTTGGGAATTTGGCTGAATTAATATTTAAAGGGTAGATATAACCGTGGAGACACCCTTTAACCCTTCCTCGTACGCCATTCGCAGGTTTTTCAGACTTTAATAAAACCCATGTGAATTCCTATTCGAACAACTAACAGCTCGTGTTTATTGAAGTGTTAAAATTATAAATTTATAATGTAATAATTATAAAATTTATGAAATTCTAAGGCTTAATTATAAAAAAAATTATGTTTTATAAATTAGATTACACATTAAAGATATAGTTTAAGTATTAAAATTATTAAATTATATTAATAAAAAAACATAAAAAATAATTTTACTAAAAATATTTTAATAAATTAATAAATTAAACTACATTTTTAATATAAAATTTTATATGTAAAATGCTTTTTAATAATAAATTAATTATTCCAAAAGTAACTGAATTGAAGTATTAAACGTAGAAAAATATAAAAAAAATTTAATAACATTGTATTTGAGTCTTGGTCATTTTTAACAACAAATAATTTTTTTTTTTTTTTGTTAAAAAAAGTGAGATAGACATTAAAAAAAAAATTTTTTCTACCTTCTCTTGAAGGGGTAAAACCCAAGATGCTGAACTGCACCTTTTAAAGTGTGGTCTGACAGGGTAAAAACCCAAAGTTGACACTTAACCCTTTTGGTGCTCTCTCCTTAGTCCTTTCTTACCCTGTCCTTGGAAGGCATTGGGGGTTAAGGTGACAAGTCTCTCTCGTCATTATAACCATGTCTGACTGCCTTTGGCCAGAGAGAACTGATTCAAAGGACACAACTGATGCCGACTATTCATCACCATTCGCTGATATTTTCAATACACAACACATTCTGAATTATCACCCCCCAGACTTCAATCTAATTTCATCTTTAATGTACCGTATAATCCGAATTATATGATCATATTATATAATATAAATTATTAAATATAAAATAATGTATATATGAAACTGTCTTAATGATTTTAATTTTTCAATTAGAACCCTACCTTGAGTTAATAACCAATTAGTACACATGCTATGTAAGTGCAACAGATAGATGCGATAATAACTAAAAATATGATAGAAAATAGGGTTGCGGTAATAACAATACATGCTATACGATGAACATTGAAAAAGATGAGCAGTTTTAGTCAGAATCCAGAAAATCTAGTTCAAGATTTCATTCGTTTGTTAGTTTGACTGATGCCGACCACGCCTGAGAGTTCGGATACGTTGTCCTAATTCTTCTTTTGAGTTTGGTTGGGGTGGAGGAGAAATGTGTCTTGCAAATTTTAAGGGTGGGGGAGTGGTGTGGCTACTTTAGATGATGGGTCAGGAGATTTTAGGAGGGTTTCACAAGAGGATGAAACCCATTTTTCTGCAGCCAGTTGGTTTGGGATGGTCTAATTTGCGATGGGAATCCTGATGATGCTGCAGCAGTCGCAAACAATTGGTGAGGACCGGATTGCCATTGTTGATGATGATTGTTGGTGGAAAGTGAAAGATCACTCCCTATTCGGCCCCCGTTGCTGCTGCTGGGAAATTGAATCTAGAGAAAAAGAATCAAAACCATGAATACTTTGTTTCGAAAACAGAGAGAGATTCTGAAAAAGTTTCACGTTACCGAGGAAAGAGCCTAACCTGATAATTAGCTGGTGTGCTAATATGTGGAGGAAGCATATTAAACATATGGGTCTCTCCGGATCTCCTGAATTGTCCATATCTTTGCATCTCGTTCGACTTCACTGAGGCTGGGGATTGAATGTGCGTTTGGCTCAGAAGCTGCATCGCTTCAGCCTCACCATAACCATCCCTTCTTCGAGGATCATTGTCAATTCTACATGCCTCCTGAAAATTAAACAGCACAAACCCCCCAATTACAGTAACCATGGGTGAAATTGAAAATTCGAACTCAATATTAGAATGTGAAGTATTAGTATACTACAAACCTTAGTAGGCCTAAAGTTTTGGTTTCGCCAATCAGTTTCAAATGGCATACCACGCTGATCTATAGCATTATTTTGACAATGATTGATACCAAATTCTAGACTGTTTTGCCGTGAAGTCGAATTCCCCAACCTCAAGTCCAGATTATGATCTCCGGAGCTACCCGATGTTTCTGAACAACAACTTACATAAACATTTAATACCCCACCCACATGAACCCGAAAAACTCACTGAATAATTTCCATAGGCATAGTACTAACTCACCGCCAGAATTAAGTTCATTTTCATAAATGCTGGGATCAAAGTTAGTAACTGCTTCTTTGCCGTTACACTTAATTGCAGCTTTGTCATAAGCCCTATGCACATTTAAAAAAAAAAAAGAAAAAAAAGAGGAGAATTAAGAAACCCCACAAGACAATTTTTTTGATACATAGTTTCCACCGATTGAGCCCCAAACCTATGGTTAAGAGCACAAATGATCTATCACCAGTCTACATAATAAAACACCCCACAAGATTTAATGGGCCTTTTGAAGTCATCTGAATTTGTGGTAAAAGAAAAAGAGAAAGGGAGAGAAAGGGAGATAATATCATAATAAAGAACAGTGAAGCACTTACCTTGCAGCTTCAATCTCGGTATCAAAGAGGCCCAAATACACATACCTGGAGGGAAGAAAAGAAAGATAATATAATTAATTTGAGCAAAGAAACCTAAAAAGGAAACGGAATTTGCTACAGAAGAAGATGGAGAAGAGATGGTTACTTCTTGCCCAGAAATTGTCCCATTCTTGCCTCCCATCTGCCGCACTTGTGCAAGGTTACACCTCTATATTTGGAGCTCCCCCTCGGAAATCCGGTGCTTTGTCGGCGAAGTACATGCACAAACTCTTCTTTGGTTAGGTTGCTCATCTGTATATAGAAAGCGGAAAAGGAAGAAGAAAAAGAGCATTTTCTCATGAATAGGAGAGGAAGTCAAGAATCAAGATAACATAAACCATGTCAATCCTCCTCTCTTTTCACCTGTTTCAAATCCTCCTCATAATCTTCTATATTGAAGTTAATATCTGCTTCCACTCCCCGGAACTTGATCGCTGCTCTATCATAAGCTCTGCCACGAAAAAATGCAAAGAAGAAGAAAATGGTTATTACTTCAACTTCCCATATTCTCAGAGGCCTAAGTGTTCACAGGTATATAACAACTTCGTTGCAGTGAAAGCGGGATCGAGGAGGTAGAGTAAATTAACTCACCGAGCCGCGGCGTGTGCTGTGTCAAATCCACCTTAAAAGGCCAAGGGGAGAGAAAAAAAAAAAATAAAAACCCATGTCATCCCACATGAGAAATTGCCATAGAAAAGCACATAAAATTGTTGTTTCAAGAAATGAAAAATCTTTTACCTAAATAAACTTGTTTTCCACAATCCCTGCATGTGAAATGAGGAACAGAACCTTAAATTCTGATTTGGCTTGAGAGAAAAAAAACGAGTTCAAATATAGAAAGTGGGGAGATTTTCAGATTTAGAGATTGATTGCATTAGGGGGAGCAATAATTAGAAACTATATGCCTACAAAAGAACTGACCAAATATGTGACTCCCATCTTCCAGTTCTCCTATAGAAGGTAACACCTCTGTATTGGGAGCTTCTCGACCTGGGTCCTCTCCTGCTCTTCTTCATCGGCTGAGAAACTTCCACGGCGGGCTTCCCGGCGGTAAGAGGTTCCGATTGGCAGAACTTAACTCCCACCCAGTGAGCCCGGGGGAACCCTGGTCCACCACCACCTCCACCCCCACCTCCACCAGAACTGTCCCCCATTTCTGGGTCCTCAACTGGGAAAAACTGTCGGGTCACAGGCGGGTCATTCTCATCTTCACGAGGCACCGAGAACCCAAAAATCTTACTGCTTCTCTTCTTCATCACCGTCCTCCCTCTCTCTCCACCGTCTTCCTCCTCGGATCCGTCCTCTATCAGAACCGCTGACGAACTAGAATTGGATACCGATCCGACCCGTTTTCCCTTATCTTCATCGCCGTCAAGGGAGGTTTTCGGTGAAGAGCAGCTCTCAGATTCATCATCCCGTGGCTGATCAGGACAGTCATTGAGATTCCACATTTTGGGTTCTTCTAATCTAGATGACAGAAAAACAAAAATTTGAGCTCGATCCGGAGAGGGCCTAGATGAGACAAAGTATGAAATTAATGATCATCTAAACTTAGGAATCAAGGTAGGCAGAGAATTTGGAAGCAAAAACCCTCCCTTTGTCTCTCCTTCTTTGTGCAGATGAAATAAACCAATCAATATATCAATATATATAAAAGAGAAGAAAAAAAGTGAGCGAGACTGACTTCAGTATTCAATTCAAAGAAAAATAAATAAATAATAAAAAATAAAAGGAAGAAGAAGAAGAAGCAAAAAACAAAAACAAAAAACCTAGGAACAGAGGCTTTGCAAAAAAGGTGGTAGGGAAACAGAGTTTAGAGACTATACAAGAGCAAGATCTTCTAAAACCTGATTCTGCCCAAATCAGCATAGACGAGGCTATAGTTTTTGAGCTTTAGCTTAGCTTAGACAAAGGCATCCTTACCCTCCATTTCTGCTATTTCTCTCTCTAGCTAACCCACTTGCCCTTTTGTTTTGTTTTTGTTTTTTTTTTTTTTTTAAATTGAGATTTTTGAGTTTTTCCGGAGATGGGCTTCGCATTAATTATTATTACATTATAAGAAGAAAGAAAATGAGAAGGAAAGCACCATTTCTTTCTTACTAAACTTTCCCACGTTAACCAAATCGAAAAGCATTATGTTTCTCTCTCTCCATCTCTTTTACTTGTGAATGGAAATAGGCAGGGGAAATCTAAGAAAGATGGTTAATTACTTAATTGCCAGAATTAGGTACATAATTATGAGAAGTTATCTTTTTCTTTTTCTTTTTATGATTTTTTCACATGGGGTGTGGGTGCGGATTTTCACCATAAGGAAAACACATGGCAGTAGATAAAGAGAAGAGGAGTGTTAATGGGGAAGGGCAAATTTGGAAAGATGAGAAAGTTTGAGTTTCTTTCTTTTTTTTATTTTTGGGTGCAAGAGAAAGTTTGAGTTTGAGGGGGAGATTTTTGAGGTTGAGATGCGAGGCGCATGATGAAGTAGAAGGGTGTGTTTGGCATTAGAAATGGAAACGGGGAATAATGTTAGGAAAAGGAAAAACTTTCCAGAAAAGTCCAATCCAAGAGTACGGGAAGAGGGCCATCTTTACCTCTTTAGTTCTACCATCGACCAATGGCCTTCCCCCTGCTGTACCTCGTATTTATGACTTTTCCTTTATCATCACTCGCGAAACCTCAGCGCGTATGTTACACCTCCACTCACCTTTTAACTGAGGTTAAAACCTTATTATTTTTTTTTTCAAGTCGTGCCAGTACATAAATAATAATTACAAAAAAGCTTACTAAATTACTCGGCTTATTATTGAAAAGGGTCTAAACTTTTAATATTAAAATATTTTGATGTAATTTAAATTATAAAATAATTTTTTT